TGCTCTCCAGGCTGTGACCCTGCCTCACTTGGGGTTCCCATGATGGCATCTTACTCTGAAGCACAGCTGTCTTCCTTCTGTTTGTGTCATTGTCACAGTTTGCAGCACCTGGGGCGGTGTCCTCCTGCCTCACCACTCATGTTCAGGCTTCATGTCCTGCAGGCCGGGCCACTGTTCATGTGTCCCATACCTGAGCTGCCATTTATGGACTTGTCACTGTGCCCTGACAAAGTTCCATGTCCCTATCACAGGACTTGATCTATAATTCTTTGTATTTTTAATGATGTTAATTGGGTGTTTTTGTTAGTATTATTCATTAAAAGTAATACAAGTCCACTGTTAAAATTTGGAAATTACCAAAACTTGAATGAGAGAAGTAAAAATCATTTATAATCTCCCTACCCAATGAAAACTACTGTTGGCAGATGTTATATGCCATGTTATTGAGGGACAGTAAGGACCATTTAAATCCATACATGTGATGTTTTTTTCTTCAAAACAGGGTTATGCTGAGCACAGCGTTGTATAATTTGGATGTACTATGTCACATATTTTTGTTTTATGATGGTTTTTGGAATCGTAAGCTTGAGAATTAACTTGAGTCACAGTTGACTTGATTGTAATGTTTTCTTGTGCTGTAGAGCGGATAAAATTCCCCCATCGTTGTACTCCACCTACCGCCGAGCCTGCTCTGCAGCTGAAGAGAAGCCAGCAAGTAAGGTTGCCGAGATGAGCACCTCCCGCCTCCCGATCACGAACTGTGTCATGTCCCCTCAGTGCTGGGCCGGCCAGAGCTGCCCAACACGGCGGGGCCGGGCGGGTGCCACCAGCTCACAGGCTCTCAGCCTGGAGGAGCACGTGCCATTCAGAATCCACTCTACTGTTTGTCACCACTGTGCGCCCCAGTGAGGGTGTGACATGGTTTCTCTTTGCCTGTCCTGAATGAATTCAAGTTTTAAATTCACGTGACCTCTCAGACCCAGCAGCCAGGCTGTTTGTGACGCGTGTTGGGACGGATGGCCTGTGACAACTTTCTGACTGTTTGGATGGCTGAGTCCTGCTGTGGTGGCTTGGGGGTGGTTCTGCTTCTAGGGAACAGTGACGTGGACTGAGGTTGAATGGGAAAGGCTGCATGAGTGACATGCCGTGCCTGGAGCAGCTGCACAGGCTCGTCAGCGTGTGCCTGCCCCCTCTCCCCCCATTCTGGCCACTAACAAGGTGACAGTGACAGGTGCCAGCAGGCCTGGTTCTCAGCAGTGTCACTGGTTCTCAACAGTGTCACTGGATAAGCAGCAGGAGCAGCGCTGTTGAAGCAGCTGGTGTTTGCTGGTTCAAACCCTCTGACGTCTGCAGGGCTAGCTAGGCTCAAGGAGACAGCTGTGTCTCCTAGTTCTGTCGCCAGAACCCTCCTCTCACGGCCATGGAGACCCAGAAACCTGAGTGCGCACAGCATGCAGGTCCCCGATCTCACACGTGTGCCCCAGTGTTGAAACAGCCTCGCTCTTCCTTACCCGACCCTATGGCCCCACTTTTGTGGGTTCTTAGAGTGTTTCGTACTCTAGGACCTCATCTGTGGGTCTCACAGACACAAATCTTAGGTTCTGTGTCCCTGGTGTCACTGTGAGACCTGTGCGAGCTGCTGCACATGCCCAGGGTCGCCAGAACGTGAACTTGTTTTGCTTTTAAAACACTAGTTCTCAATCTTTTTCGTTTTATTTTTTTAACATCCTATGGTAAACATTAATGTTTCTTAAAAGTGTGAGAAACAGGCACTCAGTCATCCTCCATCCCTAACTGTCTCCCTCGCTGTGCTGGCCTTTTTTCATTAGGTGCATGCTTTTCGCACTTGTGGTGTGTGGTGCCTAGAACCATGCTTTTTATTTTCTTTTTTTAAAATTTTATACTTTATTTGATTGTTTTTAAGGCTCCTTTTTTTTTTTAAGATTTTTATTGGGGAATTGGTGGATGGGAACAGTGCTGGGGAATTGGGGGAAGGGGAACAGACAAGTTGTCGTTTTGTTCTTCAGTCTAGTTGTGGAGGACGTTGCTTCACTGGCCCAAGTTGGCACCATCATTGCACTCTTCCCGGGCGAGGCAGATCAGTCGCCGGCTTCTGGACGGCCGCTCACAGCGGCTGCTGGCCACTCACGCTGGCTGCTGGCTACACACGGCAGCCCATGGCAACCCACTGCCACAGGGGCTGCAGCCCACGCCATCACTGGCAACTCACGGCGGCTCAGCTCCAGGTTGAGCTGCCGTTCAGCATCTTAGCTGTGGAGGGCAGTGTCACGGCCCTCATATGTGGGATCCGAACCGGGGCCCTCTGGCATCCCAAACGAGTTCTTAACCATCGCGCCACTCGGCCGGCCCGAACCATGCTTTTTCTTAAACTTACTTATTAAGGTTTTGACTTTTAATGACAGCATCCAGCCTCAGGATGGAAGTCCATATTCAGCTGTGTGTGACTATGGACCTGTCTGGCCTAATTGTTCAAATCACCACCCCCCCACCCCTCAGTCGCAGCCCCAGAAATGAAGGTGGACCCCGGCTGTGGTGAAAGAACATTGGGACTGCTCACGGCTGCACTACGAGAGCTCAGGGCCACCATGACAGACCCCGCCCAGTATGACGGTGAGGACGGCGGTGGGTGTGAGCTGGGCCCAGTGGCTGGTCCATTTCCTGCAATTTGGCATTTGGTAGTTAAGCCTCATCACGGCCCCGGTGGGTGTCGAGCATATGGCGCCTTTCAGACAGGAAGGTAGATGGCCCCTCAGGCTGTCACAGACCTTGGGCAGAGGATGGACATCCTGCTCTTTGGCATCCCAGTAGGCCAGGCGATGGAGGGGAGGCTGGCTGCTCTTACTGGGGGGCCTTCCTTCCTGTCCAAGCTGCCCAAGTAGCTGTCACACTAAACGCTGGCCTCTGCGTCTGTGTGAATGAGTGCTCGTCTGCAGTAACAGCACGGGCTGCACAGTGGCCCATGGAACGAGAGACTCAGTAGCTGTGCTCTCCGATTCTTGTCATGAGCAGTGCAGAGTGCACAGCCCACAGGGCTTGTGTTTACCTAGCCTTGGCAATAGATGGACGCACAAGAACTCATTTCACCCCTGAATACCCCGTGAGAGCCTCACGGAAGAAATGCCAACAAAACTGCCGGAGTTCTGCTGCCCACAGTGGGAGCGCGGCCCCAGAGCGGGGCTCCTGCACACGTGGCATCTGGGGACCCTGGGGCTTGGCAGCTCCCGGCGCTCCAGCAGGATAGCTGACAGGTCCGGCCATGCTTGTGTGTAAAGGCCGCATAGCTCCGCTTCCATGGGGTGAGGTCAGCCCACTTGTCGTCCGACTTCTGGCGCACAGAAGCCATGGCTTCTGGCGTGGGCAAACGCGGTGGAGGCTGGGACGCACACCTCTGGCAAGAGTTATAGTGTGTGCGAGAGCTGGAGGGTTATAGATAAAAAGTGGAGTTCATGGTGGTAAAGGAATGTATCAGCCCCCCACACACACAACACGGGAAAAGGCCCCAGTCTGCCCATGTCACACGCTCAGGGTCCACTGCCACCTGCAGTGGGGACACAGCAGCCCAGGGTCAGTGGGCAGTCACACCCAAGAGGTGGCTGTGGTGAGCCGGCCCTGGGGTACAGTCACCGCTGGGTGCTGCCCCCTTGCCCCTCACTGGGCTCCTCTCCGCAGCCGTATCTGCTCAGGTTGCCGTGGTTTCCGAAAGGCTCAGCTCCGCCTTGGGCCTCGGCGAGGACGACAGCAGCAGTGAGGCCTCGAAGATCCAGCTCAGCGTCCTCGCTCCTGAGCTGGAGCAGCAGGAACAGAAGGTGCGTGTGGGACGCCTGGGCATTCAGTGTGGCGCCTGCTGCCTTGTGTGGGAGGAGCTGGGCCACAGGCCCTTCTCGCCACTTGTTTTGCTATGTCAAGTGTGTCTGTGGACAACACGGCCACGGTCAGCAGCCCTGGCCTGTGTGTGTACACAGTCCATGCTCAAACGTTACACATGAACATGCCCAGAGGCCGCCTGGAGCCGCCGAGCCTCAGGCGTTTCCTCTGGCCCTGCTCTCTGCTGTAACATTTCAGGACTGCAGAGTGTGGGATGGCAGTTTGCTTGTCATGGTCCCAGGATTTGGGAATGGGGAATCGTGCACCAGTCTGCACTGGCACTTCCTCTCCACATGCAAGCCTGGTTTGCAGTCTCATTCGCTCAGCTGTGGCCCTGCCCGTGTCATTCGTGTGAACAGCACAAGGTCAGGCTCACGCTGCCCTCAGTGACGCCTCTCCTTTCAGGTTGTGGATCTCCTGCTGACGTCTTTCTGTCAGAACCTAATGGCAGCCTCCAGCTTTGTGCCACCGGACAGGTAGGGCTGGGACGCTTTGCTGGGTGGTTTGGCGCAGTCCTGGGCAGCCTTGCTCGTGGAGCAGAGCTTCTCCGCGCTCCACGGGGACAGTGGCCGTCAGCCCTAGTCCCCTGGTTCCTGCTGTGCTGGTGGAGGGGCGGTGTCGACGTTTACCCAGCCGTTGAGCGTTGCTGCAGGAGAGTCCCCTGTTGGGGAAACAGCCCGGTTCTCTCTGAGGTCTGGACTGCGTCCCCCAGACTCGGTGGGAGGGCTGCACACAACCAGAACTGGCCGTTGTTTCTGTAGGCAGGGCTCCTGGGCCGCCCGCTTTGTGATGGCCACCTGTGCCCACACGCTCCTTCCTGCCGTGCTCACCAGGCTGTGCCAGCTGCTGCGTCACCAGGTAGGGCTCTGCCCCCTGCAGCCGGGAGGTGGGCTCTGCACCCCACCAGCCGGACCACTTTCCTTTTCCATTTAGGGCCCCAGCCTCGGTGCGCCGCACGTGCTGGGGTTGGCCGCCCTGGCCGTCCACCTCTGCGAGGCCCGGCCCACACTCCCGCAGGTGCTCCTGGGCCCTCCTTTTCCTGCCGGGGGCTTGTCCGTCCCTGAGTTCTTCAGCACCCTCCTGCCGTGCAGGACCCGGGAGTCTCTGTTCTTCTGCCTCAGGTGGGCTGCTCTTCCTTGTCCCGCGGCCGTTTGTCCCCTCTGCTGACAGAAGCAACATATGTGCCCCGGATAGTCAGTCACTCAGACGTTCCACTGGACCGCCTTCCTGAGCCTTGTGTGTGTGTTTTTACATGTGGACTTGTTTTTGTTTATAAAAATGAGATCGTATCACTTCGCTCAACTGCCGTTTGATACGTTGACCGCAGACTGCAGACCCTGTGCCCTGCCCCATGCTTTTCAGGGTCAGGGGGCTGGTCCGCTCTGTCTCAGGGTCTCTGTGCTGGGGCCTCGTGCTGTAGCTCTTTCTCTCGGGCAGATTCTGACACCTGGAACTCCCTTGTGCAAAAGTGAGCTCACCTTAAAGGGTTTGGAGGTCCATCATCCTGTCAGCCTGCAGGTTTACACACCGCCCCCTCCCAGCCTGGCCTGGCCCTTGTGTACGGGACACCTGGCGGGGAGAGCTGCCACCTGGGCAGGGCACAGCCTGAGGGGGCCTGTGGGTGTGGACTAGGACTGGCCGGCTGGGACTGGGGTCGCAGTTCACAGTCAAAAGGGACAAAAGGCCTAAGGACATGATGGAGCAGGAGAGGTGGCACAGGAATGCCAGCCCGGCCACTACCCACCGGATGTGTACACCGTCAGGCTGATGACCGCCCCCCCCCCAGGGGCTCTTGGCAACACCAAACAGTCCCCACTGGGAGTCGGTCCCCGGCGCCCTGCTGTCTTCGCTGCCATCTGCCTGACTTTCTCGGGGCCTCTGAGTCCGTCTGTCCTGGTCAGCTTAGCTCTCTCTACACCTGACAACCTACATGGGCAGGCAGGGGCTGCCCTGCCCCTAAGGCTGCGTGTGACACTGAGTGTGCTCTGGTCCTGCATTCCCCTTTTAGGGAGGAACAGTGAGGATTTACTGACACCCGGGGCACGCAAGCCCTTTCCCCCTGCTTCTCCTGACGTCACTCTTGTCGTCGTGGCCTCAGATCTGCACAGAGTCCACATGTCGGTGTGGACAGAGCTCAGGCCACACAGCTGTGACATGTGGCCGCTTCCCCAGGGCTCCAAGGACTGGCCCTCAGGCTCCCTGGTTTCAAACACCCTCAGTTCACTTTGGGGAGATCCAAACTTTCTTTTCTTTCATCCCTTATTTTGCACGGCTCACATTTCTGTGTTATAATTTGTTTTCTATTTTCAGATTTTGTACAGCAGCCATTTCTTACTCTTTGTGTAAGTTTTCTTGTCAGTCACGTGATGCTATGTACAGCTGTTTATCTCCAGGTCTTATAAAAAAGGTAGGTCTGTTAGGCTCCTGTTTTTTGTTCTCCTGTGTGTCTGAGGCCTTGGCTCCATTATTTATCAGGCTGTCTCGTGGGAGCGGCCACAGGTATCTGCTTGGGTAAACGCTGCCTTTTCCTTGTGTTAGCAGCGTTAACGTGAGGGGGTGTAAGATGTCAACTACAGATGTCCCTCCCCTTTTTTAAAGAAACAGATACTGATATTTATAAGACAGGTAAATTTAGATAAAAATTCATAAAAAGTATCTCCCATTTAAAGAAGGGATTCCACATTTCCTCTAGAGTTCCCTTGTCTACGAAGCGTGTTCCATGTGTTAGAAGACGAGATGTTTAAAGATGCGTGTTAGAAACCTGAATTGTTCAAGTCACGGTGTGCTCCTTTTGCAGGGTTTTAGGGAACGTTCCTTGTGAGGTTTGAACCTGGTTCTCAGCTCCAGGCTCTACAGTAGGTCACCTGAGAAGCTCTGAAGGCACAGGCTCCTGGGTCTGACAGTTAAGACGGCATTGGCGTCAAGGAGCTCAGTCCCAGGTGCCCAAGTGGCAAAGCACAAATGGAGAGTGGGGCCCATCCCCTCTGCAGGTCCTCTGGAGAGTGCGATCCGCGCTCTCCCTGCCGCCCCTCGATAAACATGAGTGTACAGTGAACACGTCACTCACATGTTTTGCCATCTAATGGGAACACGTTCTAGTGAAAAATGCAGTGCCGGGAGCGGTCTGGGAGGGTGGTGCCACCCTGTGGAGGCCATTCAGACCCAGCGTCCAGCCTAAGGACATCATCCAGTGTGGGCCAAGATTTACCGACAGGGCTGCTCACTGCAGCACCGCCCGTAACTGAACACTGGGTGCCCACCGTGCCCCGCGAGGGGTTGGCGAGGCCCCCGCAGATGACAGGGTCTCCATCCTGCCCTGCTGCACCCAGCCAGGTCACGTGGATATTTTGTGAGCCTGTCACAGCAAACGCATCCCTCTTTCTCCAGTTCCAGTTTGTTGTGCTCAGGTTGTTCTCAGAAGCCCGAGGCCCCGTCTCTCGGGAGGACGCGGCCAACCTTCCCTGGAGGCCCCTGTACCTGCCCCCCACGGACTGGCAGCGAGCTGCCCTCTGTCTGTGGAGACACACAACCTTCCGGGAACTGTCAAAGCAGAAGGAATTTCACGTACGTCCCACTGTCCCTTCCTTTGCTTCTCACCTTGTCCTGACTCTCCGGCTTGTGGGTACAGACCTGGGGCTTCCTGAGGACGTGGTGGGCGGGCCGGCCTGGCTCAGGGATGCCCGAGCAGCACAGTTGTGGCTGAGCTTGAAACTGTTGCTGGGATTGGTGTCAACTCACACGCAGGTGTGAGGAGCCAGACAGAACGGTGCTTGCACTCTGTCCGTTCCCCTGACAGTACCGTGCTCTGCAGAGAATTTTAGGGGTGGGTAAAAACATGCTTTAAGTGTGTCTGCCAGGCTCTGGTTTGGGGCAGGGCTTCACCGAGTGCAGCCATTGCGAGGGAGCCTTGGCCCAGTGCAGCCAATGTGTCCACACTGCTCGTCTCTGCACCTTTTCATAGCTGTTCTCTCATATCTTGGACGTTTGCCGGCTTGTGTTGGCATTTAGAGGAAATATTCTCAATTTTTTTATTATTTTTCAATTATTTTATTGTTAACCATCATTTACACACGAGTAGGGCTGACAGTCTGCTTGGAGGGAGAAACAATGACACGGGGCGGCTGTGCCCACTGGCAGCCCAGCAGGTGCCCCACCTGGGCCGCGGGGCTGCTGTCAGCTCTGGGTCACCCAGCTTTGCCCCCGGTTTGGCTGCGCGGGTGTGTCCCTGAGCAGTGTGCTGCTTCGTGCCACCTGGCTTTGGCCCTTCCACAGCTGAAACCTGCTGCACGCATGTTTCTGTCACGTTCTTTTTTATACGCGGTGAGGTTCTGAGGGTGGTCTGTATCGATGCGTGGAATAGTGCCAAGAGTTTTAAAACAAGAACTATGCCACTGTGAATATTTGAAGCATGTTAGTATATCAAGTTTATTCTTCAGTTATTTGCCCAGCCCCAAGAAACTAGGACGTGAGCAGTAGCCTGAGAGGTGTGCACTGCCACAGGCAGCCACTCACACCAGCAGGGCGCTGGAGAGCTGCTTCCAGGGCCAGTGTCACCCTCTTAGTTAGCGTCACACTTGGGGTTAAAGGAAACAGCAGGGCTGGGTGCTGACACCTCCGGCCGACAGTGGGAAATGGCGTGAGAATGGAGATTCTGACACACGAGAGAGGCTGCCGTCCTATGGTACTTGCTTTCGGCTGTGATGTCACACGACAGCGACACGAAACGACAGACTTGCACACTTGGCCTGTGGGTTCTGTTGCTGTCCTTGCTGTGGTATTAAGCTGGTCCTTTTCTCTCAGTTATCTTACAGAGACTGGTTACAGCTGGAGCTAGAAGTTCAACCTGAGCTGGATGCTCTTTCAGATACAGAAAGGTAGGTGTTGAAAGGGTTCTGCTCTTTAAAATGTTACAGTGTTTTCTACATTGTCTTAAAGTCTTGAGCTTTGTCATTATATCCTTAATGTTCAGTTTAAGGTATTACCTATGAGCACAATTTCATTCATTCATTCCTTTTCTCAAGAAACATTTATTGAGCTGTTTGCTAGACACTTCTGGAATGTTCTAGAAGCTGGGGATGCAGCGTAAACGAGATAAGCACACAGGTGCCTACGAGACACACAGGGCTCCCCATTGGCACTTCAGCCCCTGATACTCCTGACCAGGCACTCTTACCAAGTGATGGCACAGAACGGTATACCTGTGTGGGCTGGGGACAAGCAGGAACAGAAAGTGGATTAGAGGTAGGACGGGACATGCTCTCAGAGCAAGTTCCCCAGAGAGCGGCGGCGGGAGCAGCAAGTGCACGCTCCCAGGATGGGAACAGAGAAGCCTGCCTTGCGGAGTCCTGCTGGGGGGCCTGTGAGTGGCCTCCGCTGGTGTTGGTGGGCCCTGCTCCTGTCCTCCACGTGGGAAAAGTGCACTCAGCTTGCTGAGAGGCACAGGACTGGGCACGTGCCGTGTGGAGCTCTGGGCTTGAGGTGGCACCAGGAGTGGGTAAACCAAGGTCTGAGCCCCTGCGGGTCCCAGAGCCGATTACTGAGACTATAATGCAAGTGGGTGCTCATGGGGCCCCTGGGTTTGGGATCACAGGCTTCAGGGTGGAGGTCAAGGAGGGAAGTGTAGTGTGGAGAGCCTGGCGGGGCACAGGAGCCCAAGGGTCAGCGTTGGCCGTCCTTGAGCCCTGGCCCTTCGTGTGCTCACAGACCCTCCCGCACATGTGGGATGCTGTCTATCTCTGCACACTTGTCTGGTGTCAGATTCTGGGAGTAACAAATAGAAATAATGAAAAAAGGGAAAAGCTGTGGTGATGAAAAGAGCAGCTAACTGCTCTTTCCAAGGAAATGGGGTTTTGTTTCCTTTTCCGGTTTGTACCATACCCGCTTTGGGGTGCTTTGTGCACACACTCACATGTCCTGGGGTCGCTTCCCTTCCCGACCTTCTCTCTTTCCAGCAGGAAAAGAAGGTACAGTTTTCTGGTGTGAGGGCCCATGACCGTTGAACTCACCCCGAGCTCCCTGTCTGGGCAGTTTTGTTTAGACCTATTCTGGGATCTCCTTCCTCTGCTTTTTAATGAGGAGTAACCGAGATGCATTCTGTACGGGCTGCAGGTGGGAAGCACCAGCCCCTTCCACGTCGGCCCCTCCCGCACTCGTGCGTGCATGGAGATGGCTCACTTCCGTGTAGACTGCAGTGCTGCCTGTGGGGTCAGTCAGCTTGTCCTCACACTTTCCTGCGGGCACCTGTCCTGATCAGGAACCTTTGTTGGTGCCCCTGGGCAGTTCACACACAACTGCGAGGGCACCTCAGCCTCTGTCCCCCAGCTCATCAGGCGAGCGCTGGGGGCCGTCACCCAGCTGGGTGGCCCCCAAGGGGCCCTTGATCGGTGGTAGAGGGCCTTCCCGCAGCCCCAGGCCCCCTGACGACCCAGCCCCAATGCTGCGCCCTCGCTGTGGGCTGCTTTCCCGGCTCCCCAAAAGCCCTGGCTGGCAGCCCTCTCAGCACAGACCCCGGTGTTTGCTGTGCAGGCGGGACTTCCAGCTGTGGGCCATCCACGAGCATTTCCTCCCAGAGCCGCACACCGCTGGGGGCTGCGACGGAGACCTGGAAGCCGCGTTCACCGCCCTTGTCGACGCGCTGCTGGACTTCTGCCACAGGTCAGCAATGCTGGCGTCCAGGCGCCTCCTGCCCAGCACAGGCGGCTCTAGGGAGTCTGCTTTTGTCTCTTCACCCCCACGCTTGCTGTCAAGGTGATACATCCTGTTACCTCAGTCATAGGGAAAGCATCCTGTTACACTGTCTGGGCCAATGGTTACCGGAGACACACACAGGACAGACGCCATTCTTTTTCCCCATGCCCCTCTCTTCTCCACGAGCCTCTAAGCAAACCATCCAGTCGGCACAAGGCTCGCTCTCGTTACATTTCGGTACAGCCGGCAGCGCTGCGGTGCTCCTCCCGGCACATAGTGGCCGGGACAGCACTGATGTTGGCCAGTGCGCTGCCGTCAGTTGTTCCCTTGGGGACAAGCCTTTTCTGTCTATGGATTTGTCCGTTGGAATCACACAGTATGTCCTTGGTGTCTGGCTCACTCAGTAGTGTTTTCAAGGTTCGTCATGTAGTGTGTATCAGAGCATCATTCCTTTTCATGACTGAACAGTATCCCATGGAAGGACACACCACACTTTGTTTATCCGCTCATCAGTTGATGGACATGCGGGTTCTCACTTTTTGGCTCTTGTGAATATTTCTGCTGTGCACATTTGAGTGCAAGTCCTTGTGTGGTCCTCTGCTTTCCTTTCTCTTGGACGTATGCCTAGGAATGGAACTGCTGGGTCCTACGTTCTCTATATTTAACTATTTGAGGAGCTACCAGGTTGTTTTCCAAAACCATGCCATTTACACTCCCACCAGCAGGGTGGGCGTGCTCCAATCTCTCCACATCGTCACTAACACTGTTGCTCTTATTTGATCTTCGTAATAGTTATCCTAGTGGGTGTTCAGTGGTGTGTTTCATCATGATTTTGATTTGCTTTTCTTTGGTGGCTGATGATGTTGAGCATCTTGTCATTTGCTTGTTGACCATTCATGTGTCGTCTCTGGAGAAATGTTTGTTCAGCTCCTTTGCCCGTTTTAAAATTGGGTTATTGGTTTTATTGAGTCGTAGGAGTTCTTCATATATTCCAGATTTGAGATCCTTGTCACATACATGAGTTGCACACATTTTCTCCCAGCCTGAGTCATCTTTTCACTTCCTCAGTGGAGTACTCTGATGCACAAAAGTTTTAAATTTTCTTGAAGGCCAAATCATCTAGTTTTAGTTTTAGCTGTTATGTTTAGGCCTTTGATGCATTCGAGTTAAGTTGTGTATGTGGTGTACGTTTGGGATCCAGCGTCGCTCTTCTGTGGGTGGATATCCAGCTGTCCTGGCACCTTTTGTTGGAGACACTGACCTTTCCCCATTGAATGGTCTTCCCCCTTGTTGAAAATCAGTTAACCATACATGCAGAGGTGTATTTCTAGACTCTGTTGTGCTGCTCTACCTGTCTGTCCCACACTGTTTTGATTACTGTAGTTTTGTAGTTAAGTTTCAAATTGGAAAATGTGAGTCTTCCAACTTTGTTCTTTTTCAAAGTTGTTTTGACTGTTCTGGGTCCTTTGCAATTCCATCTGAAGCTGGGGATCAGCTCGTCCATGTCTGCAAATCATCTAGGACTCCGAAAGGGATTGCATTGTATCTGTAGGTCAGTTTGGATGTGTTGCCTTCTTAACAATACTGAGTCTTCCTCTCCATGAACGTGGGATATCTTTATTTAGGTCTTTAATTTTTTTCAACAAGGTGTTGTAGTACAAGTTTTGCACCTCCTTGGTTAAATTTATTCTTATTGTTTTTCACACCATTGTAAATGGAAATAATTGTCCTGATTTCATTTTTGGATTATTCATTGCTAGTGTATAGAAACACAAATGATTTTTGTATTTTGATTTCCTATCCTGCAACTTTGCTGACCTCATTTATTTGCTCTAATAGTTTTTTATTGTGGATTCTTTAGGGTTTTCTATATATAAGATCATGTCATCTGTGAATAGACATGGTTTAAGTTTCCCTTCCATCTGGATGCTTTTTATTTCTTTTTCTGGCTGAGCGGTCCTGGCTAGCGCTTTTGCTGCAGTGTTGAATGGAAGTGGCGAGAGGGGATGTCTTTATCTTATTCCTAATCTCAGGAGGAAAGTTCCCAGGCTTTCATCACTAAGTGTGATGTCAGCTGTGGGCTTTTCACAGATGCCCTTTATCAGGTTGAGGAAGTTCTCGTCTACTCCTAGTTTGTTGAGTGTTTTTAATCATGAAAGGGTATTTAATTTAGCCTAATGCTTTATGTGCATCTGTTGAGATGTATCACGTGGTTTTTGTTTTTTATTCTATCGATGTGTATATCACATTAATTGGTTTTTGGATATTGAACCAACCGTGCATCCTTGGGGTAAATCCCACTAGGTTATGGCACATAATTGTTTTTATATGTTGCTGGATTTGGGTTGTTAGTATTTTGTTACAGGTTTTGTTTGCTGATTACCATGTGTGTCACATGGTCCCCAGAGCCCTACTGGCTCTGACCACATACCACTCTGTTGGCAGGAGGAGAGGCAGGATCCCGGCACGGTTCAGACGTGCTCAGGAGGACTTTCCTGTGTTTTCATTTCAGTTCAAGGAGTTACGAGCGCTCAGAGAATTCTGACTTGGTTCTCGGTGGCTGCATGGGAAATCGGGATATTTTTTCCAGATTGCAGGTAATTTAGAAGAAAACTCAGTGTGTTCACTGCTAAATATTTATTGTTGAGTATCCATAATGGGTCCTAAGGCAACTGAACAGCATGAGAACACGCCCCACATCTGAAAATAGAGGAATCAGAAAATACCCACTTTGGTAATAAGGTGATGGTCGCTCCACTACCCGTTCCACTGGGATGTCGGGCTCTAAGGAGTGATGTCAGTGACCCTCCACCGGGCGGCAGGTCAAAAGTCCGCCAAGTTTGGAGGCCAGGAGACACTGTTTCACAAGGTTGTTAGGCCCCTCCACAGGCCGCCTTCTTGTCACCGGGCCAGGCAGCGTGCCTGCTCTCCTCGGGTCTTTCCAGGGCAGCAAGGTTAGGCCCTGAGAGTGAGCTCTGGGGCCTGCCTCCGGAAGTGCAGGCTTCCTGGTGGTGCTCCTGCTCCGTCTTTAGAAAATGTGGGGACTGGAAGGGGAACCATGGTGTGGTTTGGGGCACTGGGGAAACGTGCAAAGAAGTAAAAAGTCACAAAGAAGAGACCCGAGGCCCCTGCCCCGCTTCTTGACCTCTTGTCCCCCCACACCCGTCATAACTGATGTGAAGGAAGGGTGACCAGCAGCCGTGTGCACACGTGTCAGTCTTTTATCGAGGCCTACTGTGTGCGTGTCTTGTATGTAATTCACCCTCACATGTGTGCACACACACTATATGTATCAGAAAGAGCAAATGATAAACGGTGAAACGTTAGCTGGAGGTAAATCTGGGTAAAGGTGTTCTTTGTACTATTTGTATGTTTACAATTTTCCAGTGATTTCAAAGGGCTGGTCCCACTTGGCTCTTTCCAGCCCTGACAGAGACCGCTCTTCCAGGCCCACCTCAGGGTCCCCATTGGGGCTGACAGTAAGCCCCAAGGACTCTGTGCCTTCACATTTGGGACAGAGGTGAAAGTTTATGAGCAGCTGGGCCTTGCCTTTTTCCAGGAGATGGCGGTCGACCTGAAGCAGGGCCCAGCGGTGCCCCATGGCCGTGCTCCCTCTGGGGGGCACATCCTTTTCGGGGTCTTCCACAGACGGCTCCAGGCTCTGGCAAGCGGGTGGGACGTGGCCTCCCGTCTTCAGAGACAACGGGAGCTACTCATGTACAAATGGTAACAGCACCATGTGCCCCTACTGCTCCCCGCCCTGTGCTGGCACCTTCTCCTTGGGGTTACCACGGAGAGCAGGGCCTGGGTATGAAGCACGTTGGATTACAGCCTTCCTACTCAGACTCAGGGATCCACTTGCTGAAAGATGGAGCTTAAAAGACCTCATGTCAGAATAAGAACTGTGTTCAAAGATAGCATGCAGCCATGAGTCACAAATAATGTGACACGATCTTTTCCAGGTGCAGGGAACTGCTCTGATAGACTGGGGGGCACCCTTTCACTTGGTGCTTAGACAACTTAAACTCGGGTTTTGGGTAACACATTTTGAGTGTCTGCAGTGGGGCCCAGGTGCTCAGCCCACAGCTCCAGGCAGGGATGGCGGGGGCTGCAGACCGAGTCTTGTCCTCGAGACCGTGGACGCACTGCCTTCTCTCCAAGGATCCTGCTTGTCCTGCCTCCATCTGTTCTTGTCGGCAGCCCCCAGATGGAACAGCCAACCACCCCCGACTGCGATGCGTTCTTCCACTTGGTCAACTCCGAGCTGGTAAGTGCGGGGCAAGTGGCCTCGGGACACAGGGGCGAGGAGCTATCTTGTCACTGAGGGCTGTTCCTTGAAAATTCCTGAGTGCATCTGTGGTCACACTGAGCTCAGTGCTCTGGCGTGGGTCCTGACCACGTGGGAATACGGGAAGCGCGGGAGGGCAGGGTGGTTGGCGAGCGTGAGAGCAGGAGCGTGGGCATCCTCCCTTCAGCCACCACCGGACGGACCAGGGAGGGGCAGAGCCCAGCTCCTCCAGGAACTTTCCCTGGATTTTAGTGGTTTGGACCCATGAATGTTGCAGGCCGGTCACCTACGAGGCACCTCCCTCCCTCTCCATCCAGTGGTGATGACCGCCATGCCCCCCAGGTGGCCTTGTGTCCTGTCATTGTTCAAGAGCTCAGCCTCAGGGGCTCTGATGGTACCAGGTGGGGTCGGCGAGGCACCTGAACAAGCACGCGCCCGCACATGGGACAGCTTTCCCCCCGAAGGCGGCAGTTGCGCAGAGCCTGGAAAGGAGACTTGGAAAGCAGAGGCAATGGCAGCTGGTTTTGTTGACATGTGCACCAAAGGCTGTTTTCCTTGGTGGTCCCAGACGTGCTATGGAAGCCGTCAGCTGAGCAAGTTTGAGGATAGCAGAGAAGGGCCACCAGGCTGCGCCTGCCTCCCTGCAGCCCGGTGCCGGCGCCACCGCTGGTGGGCGGGGGTCTGGCCACGCACAGGAGTGTGCAGAGGCGGTGAGCGTGGAAAGTCTTGAACGGTGGGAAGGCCCGAGGCCACCCTCGTGGTCAGCGGTGCCGCAGCCATCACAGTGTGTCTCCTCCCACAGCTCCACCCCCGCCCTCCCGCCTTGTCAGTACCTTTCTCACTGGCCTGCACTGCTTTGCAGAGAAACTTGTGTTTCCATGGAGGTGCCCTGACCCACGACATCACCGTCCACTTCTTCCGGGTAATTGGTTTTCTCTGTGCCTCACACGTCGCAGCTGACACCACCTGGGCTGGGTCCATGTGTCCGGTGGTGTTTTCAGGGCCCACATGCAAACCGCTGAACTCGGCACGTCCCTTCTGCAGGGGCTCCTCAGTGCCTGCTCGCGAAGCCGAGATCCCTCCCTGGCGGCCGACCTGGCCCTGAGTGCGTGCCAGACCCAGTGCCCCTTGCTTCTGACGTCCGCTCTGGTAGGTCCAGCACCCGCGGGGCCTCCGGGGCCCCTTGGCGCCATGTTGTCTGTCCCCCACTAAAACCTCATCTTAGTTACTGTGCTTTGGGAGCAGTGGGGGTTAGGCGGACATGTCAGAATGCAGGTGGGGTGACAGGCTCCCTTGCCTGTGCCCCAGCCCATCTCAGGCAGCAGAGACCTGATAAGCATTGAAACAAGCAGGCTGTGCGTCTGTGTGTCAGTGTTTGTTTAGCCACTCGCTCTCGCTCTGCAGTGGCAGAAGTGGACACAAGGGCCTGTGCTCTCCCAAGGGTATGGTCGTGTTTGCTCGTCTGTAGTCCTGGCTGCTGCCTCAGGACTTGAGAACAGGGAGCCGGCCCTGGTGTGAACCGACACCGGAGCATCAATGGTGTGGTGCCTTTGCGCCTCCCTCACAGCACACTCGGGCCGGCCTGAGCCTGTAGCTCAGTTGGGTGGAACTCACTGGAAGCGAGCTACCCTGTGTTTAAAACACCAGCTTTCAGCAGGATGTTGGGGAGCCCAGCCCAGCTCTGGGCAGAGTGGCCGACTCCAGACAGGGTGGCTCCTTAGGCAAGACCATCCGCTCTGCAGTCCATGTCCTCTGCACACGGGGGCAGGAATGCCTCGTGGGACAGCTCTGAGCCTTAAACGAGGTGCTGGAGAGCCTGCCTTTGGCGTTCTGAAGCGTTAGATGAGTGTGAACCGGCTGTGGGGGTGGGGGCGTTGGCCGGAGGGGCACCCATCTTTAGTTGCCCCTGACCTGTCACCTTTCTTTCGGGGAGTTTTGGTGGCCACGCCTGGAGCCTGAGCTTCATTGTCGCTGGAGGAGCTTCCCGGGCCCATCTCCCCGAGGGCTGCAGATGCTGCAAGAGGCCCAGCAGTTTGCCAGGAGGTGAGTGCTGGAAGCTGGACTAGCGGACGGAGGGCGGACCTGCCCTGAGTCACCTCCACAGACATCCCGGGGTGCACGAGAAGGGCCTGTGTGCAGGTCTGCAAGACCCACGTGAAGGGCAGGGAGCTAAGCTTACAGGCTCCTTTCCAAGTGAGAACTTCCCAAATGTTTTGGGAAAGGCTGATTCTGGCCTCATTATCGAGTTCAACCCTGCTTAGGTGTCCTGCCCATCTGCCCGTCTCCTCACTTGCAGAGCGGGCCCTGGGCCTGGGCCTATGATCTGGGTCAACCCACCTTCCTGGGACTGCTGTGCTCCCAGCAGTCATCAGAAAGAACTGCTAGCCACATGCAGCCTCCTTCTGTCTTTGTGACAGTGTTTGCCCACCGGTGTCTCCCTGCAGGGTCAGGGTGCTTGAAATGTCAGAAAACAAAGCAAGTCTCACCCAGCACCGCTGGTTCTACACAGACAGACCAGATATTTAAAGCGTTTTTTTGTTTTGTTTTTTTAAATTGGGGAACTGTTTTTCCAGGACCCATCAGCTTCAAGTCAAGTAGTTATTTCAACCTAGTTGTGGAGGGCACATCTCAGTGGTCCATGTGGGGATCGAACCGGCAACCTTGGTGTTATGAGCACTGCACTCTAACCAACTGATCCATCCGGCTGCCCCTAAAGCTTAACTCAACGTCTACACTCCATTATTAATCTCTGGTCATTCCTAACCCTCCGGAGAACCTTTGTGAGCATCACAGTGCAGTCAGCAGGGGCTGATTTAGCAGGAGGGTGGCCGCAGGCACGTGAGGGTCCAGGGGTGGATTTGGTGACGGCCACAGTGTCCATGACATCCTTTTAAAGCTCAGGCAGCTGGGACCAGACGCCCTGTCAGGACCCCCTGCTTCCTCGTGTTTGTGGCATAGAGGACGCCTAATGAGACCGGGAAGGACCCTGAGCCAAGGATGAGCCCATGACACAGGCTTGGGCTCCGCAGACTTCGTTTCTGCTACTTAACACAAAGGATGGGGGGTGGGGGCGAGCATGTGACAGTTCTGGGAACAAGGACCTTAGGTTTTCGGTGGTAATGACACATCTCTCTACCTCGCAGCTTTCTCTCCACCGACATCGCGGCCCCTGCACCGGGCCCGGCCTGGGTGTCTGCTGCTGCGCTGTACTTCACCATCCAACGAGCCAGGACCGAAAGAGGCGGCCTGGAGGGGCTGCACAGCCTGAGTGAGGAGGCAAGAACGAGTCTCCCGCTTTCCTCTTTTCTAGCAAGCTCGTTTTCAGTGTTCTTGTCAGTGGGGTTCCTCAGGGTTCACCTAAAAGCTGAGCTTTTCCAAGGACAGAGAAAAGTTGGCAGTTCTTGTCACTCTATTTGGAAGTAAAACTTACTGGGCTTAAAGGTTCAGTAACACTTTGACTCTCATGTTTACTGGTAAAAATAATACCTTGTTTCATTTTTGAAGTGTTTTTATTTAGCCGATTTTTATGCTCGCCACAACCCAGGGCAGGGCTGTCAGCTGTCCAGCAGAACCTTTTGTCCATGTTCCCATAGCCTCAGTTGACATGCACCCCCAGTTAGGTGTGTGTGGGAGACTGGGCAGGTGTGAGGAAAGTGGGTGGAGAGAAGGCCGCTCGAAGTTCAGGTGGACACCTTGAAACGTCCCCCCTGGGAGCCGTGGGACCAGGCCGGAGTCTGTGCCCACTGCCCCCCCTCCCCGGCTTAGCGTGCAGAGCCCCTCTCCCAGGGAGTGGGGGCACCCATCAGAGTTAGCAGAAAACCAGCCCCATGGCGCTCCCACCAGCCTCTCCCCCAGCTAAGCTGCTGGTTCTACAAACACAAGGGCCCACCCGTGTGCCTGACAACTAAATCAATTGCCTGATCACGGTATTTTTGGTAACTATAATTTAAAGTAAAAAAACCTACAAATAGATTCTTTGAAGTTTGTTTTCAGGTTGTTTTTGTTGGAAGGGATGTGAGTGGCTCCAAAGCCCCCAGGCCTGGGTGTGGCGAGGAGACGGGGTCCCCAGAGTCCCCGCTCAGCCCGGGAGCACGTGTCCCTGCCCCGAGTCAGTCGGCAGCCTGTGGGTTTATCTCCAGGGCTTTACAGAGACTTCCGGACTGGAGGCCAGGGAGCGAGGCTAGGCTGGCAGGTCACTGCACGGGTGGCCGTGCCTGCAGCTGGGGCACTCACATGCCAGGGAGACCTCGGTTCCTTACTGCTGTCACTGCCAAGTTATTTAAAGACAAGCATAAAATGACCCAGTCAGTACTAATTTATTCCAATTAAATTTTGTTTAAAAGTGGTGGGAAATGTGTCTGAGGAGACCGCTCACAGACTTCTCCCCAGCCCTGTAAATGTTGATGGACAAGTGTGCATTCCTTACTTAGAACTGCTTGGTGGGGACCAAGAGCACAGGTAACGTCATAAGTATCCCTGTTGGTATTTGCAGCTATTGGTTTTCCTGTTTTTCTTTTCCTTGATGGGCCTGGTGTCGTCACATCTGACCCCACACGTAAGTCAGCTCGGAACGGCAGGTCCTAGCCGCGCCTCTGCGCCCCCCCTCTTCCCAGACCTCCTGAGTCAGGATTGGGGTGAGGGTGGGGTCTGGAACCTTCACTCTGAAGGTTTCTCAGGAGATGCCCGCGCTCACTGAAGTGGGACTCCTCGACCATGGGCCTTTGTTTCCAATTTGGGCGCCAAAGGTCCTTGGCCACCACCTCTTGCCTGAGCTCTCTCCATCCAGAGGCCCCAGGGTGATGCTTTCTATAAGTCGTCACCACTAAAACAGGAAAGGTTACCGTCTGTGATGATTCTATGATGGGGGGTTGTCCCTCTGCCCCACGTTCCCAGCTCTGAACCCAGATACCTGCCGTCTGAGTCATTCCCCCTCTTGTGTGGGCCACAGGCTGTTGACACCCCAAAGGCCTTGGACCTTTGTGCTGAGGTCCTAGGCTGTCTGCAGAGGAGGACGGCGTCCTGGCTGCAGATTTTTCAGTTAACAGAGACGGGTAAGTCCATGGAGACTCAACAGCGAATGGGTGGCCCCTGTCTGTCTGGTTACCGGCCATCGGCTGGGATTCCTGACACTTTAGTTTTTCTCTTCAGAAGCAATTTTCCAATGGTTATCTCCTGGCTAAGCATATGAACCCCATTTTAGTCAGGACAAATGCAGTGTAAGCTAATTTAAACAACAAAAGAATGGGATGGACCCCCACTGTGGCTGGGCCGTCTCCCTTCTGGCCTCAAGGCACATGAGGTCCCCTGAAGACACTGAGCCCCTTGGGTTACAGATGCTGGCCTGGGACGCATCCTCCTCCGCCTGGTCCCCAACCAGCACGTCAGCCTGCTGCCAGTGGCCTTCTACAGGTAAGCGCCCCAGGCTGCTGCGATCTCCAAGTGGGCAGGCGGCCCATAACTGCCTGTGCCACCTGCTACTTACCTGTGGGGGGGCTCTGCCTGCAGCCTCCTCCCTTGCTTTGATGGAGATGCCCTTGTCCGGGAGGACGCCTTTCTGCATGTCGCTGTGGACCTGTACCTGCAGCTGCTGCGCCTCTTCGTGGCTGGGAACACGAGTGCACTGCCAGCACTGGCCAGCAACAGCCAGGAACTCCAGGGCCAGGCAGGTGACGGGCGGGCTGGCCACCTTCAGACAGACGGCAAGCTGTCTGGGGCCTGAGGCCGGTGCCGGCCACTCCCAGCACACATGTGCCCCCCTGACCCGTGCTCTGCCTATCCCCTATAGAGCGACCCTGTGGGCCTGTTAACAAAAGCCCGTCTTTTTCTGCTGCAATTGATACCTCGGTGCCCGAGAAAGAGCTTCTCCAATATGGCAGAGGTAAGTCCCAGATTCTCACCTCTCCATTTTAAACCCAAATCACTCTTTAAATGTGAGGGAGCGGAGGGCCCACTTTAGGTAAAACGAGGATGCCTGCGCCCAGCGCTTGGCATTGTGGCTGCAGGGCCACTGGGGGCCGCCCGTGGCCACCGCCTTGCCCTGCCCTGGCCCTTGGTGTCGGGGTATCTGCTGAGCATGGTGTTCCCTTGCAGCTGCTGACTGCTCACGGAGACGGCGACCCCGAAGTGACAGCTGCTCTCCTGCAGGCAGCAGGCCACGCCTGATTGGCATCTCCCAGGAGCCCCCACCTCCTGTGACCGGCGCCTGCGCAGTGCACAGCCCGCTCCTCTGAATAATTTATTAGGCGCACCGTGCCGCCCTTGCTGCACGAAGAGTGGGTTACAAATCCTGACTGCTTTAGTGGGGAAAAGGATCAGTCATTGAAAATGGCGCCTGGCCCCAAGATGCGCGGTTCGTAGGAAAATCAACTCTGGTCCCAGATGGAGGCAGAAGGGCGGGCCCTCCCTGCATGGTGGGCACCGTGTAGGCTCCCGGTGGGGTCAGGTGGGCTCCGGCTTCACAGCCCGCCCGTCCGCGGGCCCAGGCGGCAGCGCCAGGGCCTTGTCCTGCGCCTGCGTCAGTGGGTGGACCATGGACATGTGCACGTTGCGGTTGTGAGCCTTCTCGAACCGACGGCCACACTGGTCACACGCGAAGTCCAGTTCGGTCTCGGCCTTGTGTTTGGTCATGTGGTACTTGAGGGACGCCCGCTGCCGGCACTGAAACCCACAGACTTCACACCTGGGGAACAGGGGCAGATGAGTGAGGGCACAGCCCCAGGGTGGAGCCAGGGGCCCCGGGTGCACTTACTGCAGCGGCTTGGCTCCCGAATGGCGCATCTGGTGTACAAGAAGGTGCTTCCGCTGCTTGAAGGTCTGTCCACACTCGTCACAGATGTAGTTCCGCACCTCTGAGGGGAGGGGACATGGGATGAATGCCCCGGAGACGCCTGCCATCCCTCCTGGCAGCACAGCGACCTGCTGGCTGCCCAAGCAGGGACCTAACTATTCGTATTTGCGTGAAAGAAAACTCCAATCCTGCCAACCGGCTTGACTGGGTTGCCTGGCTGGGCCTTCACACTTGAAGCTGGAAGACCATCTGTGCAGAAGGACGCCAGTTCAGCAAGTTCTCACAGACCAGTGACCACAACTACTCCCACTCTAGAAGTCACCCTCATGTTGGACCTACCATGGGGGCCCCACTTTGGAAATTAGTTTCCTACAGAAATTCACGGGTCAAACTCAACCAGCAATTCCACTCCTGGCCGTGCACCTGGGCAGTGTCCCGGACGTCCCACCCCCGATGGGCTGCTCTCTGACAAGGAGCAACCCATCCTAAAGCTTACTACTATCATCTGTTGTGTTTCTAAAACAGCCAGTGCACGGGTGTCTGCACTGAGACACAGTTTGAAGGCCCCACCGAAGGGAATTGTTGTGTCAGGAGATACAACACAGATGAGAACGCTCAGAGCAAAAGACCCAGGAGGAGGGTTTCATTGTGAAACCAAGTAAATGTGACCCAACAATACAGTTGACAAATCTGAGTGAAAAAAGTAATCACTTTTACAAAGATCAAAAACGAGCAAAACTGCTGTTTGAGAATAAATGCAGTATAACATGTGCCTTTTGAAGAGGGCGCTGATTCGGGAGGGCGGCTGCATGCGCGGCAGGTGTGTGTGTGGTGCTGTTTCCCGACACATGTTGTGTGAATTGTGCCATTAAAACTGGAGGGAAACCATGAAATTGTGATTACTCTGTCTGAGCCCGGTGTTGGAACGTGTGTGCAGAGAAGTCCCCCTCAAGTGCTGATGGTGGCAGTGTATCTTTGTGCTTTCTTACTGTCACCATTCCAACAATGCACATGGTTAATTCTCTAAGCCAAGAGGCATGTCATTTACTAAAGCAATGATAAAATCCCAGCACAATAAACTCCCAGACAGGCACTGGGATATCTTTGTGGCCAGTCCACACACTGACCAGCTGAGCTGACCGGCCACACTGTACAGCAGGCATGCAGGAGGTACCAGGACGCAGCCCTAGAGGCCTGCTTGGTGGGGGCGGCACGCACCTGTGTGGATGAGCTTCACGTGGCGCTGCAGGTAGCGGTCGACCATGAACACCTTGTTGCAGCCAGGGTGGGGGCAGGGCCTCTCGCGGACCTCCTCGTGGTGCTCCTTTATGTGTTTCTGTGGGGGACAGCGATGGGCCCTGCTCTGCACCCTGGAAGGAACGCAACTCACCCGACAAGGCCGATGCGCCCTCCCCATGGACACCCGCCAGGCTGCTACAGCGGCCTCACCTTCATGCCATCGGCCCCTCGGTACACCGCCGTGCAGCCCTGGTGGGGACACTTGTAGATGGTGGGCAGCTCCTCCCTGCAACAGAGCGCATGCGTGGAGCTGCCGCCCTGCAGTGAGGGCCCCCCACCTCCCACACACACACTCACCTCTCACAGCGCAGCTTGGCTTTCCAGCCCGGCTTCGGTCCTGGCTTCTTCCGCAGTTTTGGTTCTTCAGACTTCTTGGCCTCTTTGCCTTCACTCTTCTTACCGCAGACCCTGAAAAAAAAAAAGGCGAAATCAAATGCAGGGACGTTTCTGACCTCCGTCCACAGTTCTCATTTTCTTCACGTTCTCCCCTCGAGTATGAGGCGGGGTTTTTCTCAAGCTTCTGCGGCTACCCTTCCGCCTGCATGCTAACGGGGCCTGACACGGACCCTCAGCCAGGGCAGCTCTCGGGAGGCACAGGCCTGTGCTCCACCTCAGGAGGGCCCAGTGCAGGGGCGAGGGTCACAGCGACTACGAGTGAGGGCGGGGTTCAGGCTGGAAGTCTCGCCCCCCCATTCCAGATGTCACAACCAAACAGTTTGGATATATCGTGGGAAACGGTAGAGTAGGGGACCTTGAGGGGTCAGTCCCTCCCCCCAAACAACCGCTGAGCTAGATTAGATCAGGCTCAGCAGTACGGGAGCTCTGGAACCCAATGGGAGACTCAGCCACCAGAGGGGTCCTTCAGGGGAGCAGTGCTGTCTCGGGGAAGTGCTGCCAAGCCCCGCCTCAGCCCTGCCATGGGGGGCCAGGGCGGGCAGTGGGCCCTTGCCCTCCAGCAGTGCCAGGCTGTGCACTTGTAGGGACCAGCTCAGATGCAGCAACTTCCTCCTGGAGTGTCTAGCAGAGACTTAAAGAGACATGCACACATTTTTTTCCATTTTTGACCCAGACATTTAAGGAAATCTGTCAGGAACAGAAGGGAGCATCTGGGGCCACATGGAACAAGCCCACAGCTAACCTCATCCTCAATAGTTAAAGACTGAAAGCTTCCCTCTGAGATCAGGAACAAGACAAAGATGCCCATTTTCACCACTGCTCTTCAAAATAGTACTGGATATCCTAGCAAGAAAAATTAGGCAAGGAAAAAAAGCCATCTAAATTAGAAAGGAAAGAAAATTACCTCTCTTCACAGATGACATGATCTTATATGTAGAAAACCCTAAAGAATCCACACACAAAATAAACAAATTCAGCAAAGTTACAGAGTACAAAATCAACACACAAAAACCAGTTCTATTTCTATATGCTAACAATGAACAATCCAAAAAGGAAATTAAGAAAACAATTCATTGGCGATAGCATCAAAAAGAATATAATACTTAGGGATAAACTTAACCAAAGAGGTGAAAGACTTGTACACTGAAAACTGCAAAACACTGATGAAAGAAATTAAAGGCTTAAATAAACAGAAAGGCATCCTGCGTTCATGGATCAAAGACAATATTGTTAAGATAGCAGTGCTTTCCCCAAAGCAATCTACAGATTCATTCCCTATCGAAATCCCAAGGGTGTTTTTTTTTTCAGAAATAGAGAAAAAAGGTCCTAAATTTCATATGGAATTTCAAGGGACACTGAACAGTTTTGAAAAACAATGCTGGAGGTCTCACACGTCCTGCTTCCAGAATTTACTACAAAGCTCCAGTTATCAAAACAGTGGTGCTGGCACAGGACAGACATGCAGACCAGCTGGACCGAGTGAGAGAACAGAAGTAAACCCTCCCAAGTACAATCAACTGACTGTCAGCACGGGCGAAGACCATTCAATGGAGGAAGGACAGTCTCCAACAAAAGATGCTGGGACAGAAGAGTGACGCTGGATCCCGGACGTACACCACATACAAAACTTAACGCAAATGGATCAAAGGCCTAAATGGAAGAGCTGAAACTGTAAAACTCTTAGAAGAAAACATAGGGGGAAATCTTTGTGATCTTGGATCTGGCATTCATTTCTTAAATATGAAACAATAGTAAAAATGGATAAATTGGACTTAAAAAATAAAAATTCTGTGCACCAAAGGCCACTGTCAAGAGAGTGATAACCCACTGAATAGGAGAAAATGTATCCTATGGCTCAATAGCAAAAAGACAAACAACTCAATTAAAAAATGGGCAAAGGACTTGAATAGACATTTCTCCAAAGAAGATGTGAACACGTGAGAAGGTGCTCAGCATCACCAGTCATTAGAGAAATGCAAATCAACCTCAACGAGACCGCCTCACCCACACTAGGTGACTGAAAACACAGACGAGGACAGTGGGGAGGACGTGGTGACACTGGATCCTGTGCACTGCGGTTGGGAAAGTGTGGCAGGCAGCTCCTCAGAAAGTCCAACACAGACTGTCCGTGTGGCCCAGGTGCCCTACTGCTGGGTACAGACCCAGAGTGGAAAACAGGGACTCAAACAGATATTCTTATACCAGCACTCAAAGCATTCTTCACAAAAACCAAAAGGTAGCAACGACCCAAAACGACAGATGAATGGATCAACAAAATGTGGTCTGTCCACACAACAGAATGTTCTTCAGCCACAGAAAGCAGGCAAGTTCTGATACATGTTACAGCATGATGACTCAAAACAGGCTGCGTGAAAGAAGCCAGTCACAAAACGACAGATACTGTGAGTCCACTTCTATAAGGTCCCTAAAGTGGGTCCCCGGATTAGAGGTGGTCAGGGTGTGGGGGCAGGGAGAGGGGACGTCACTGCTCAACAGTCGTTTGTGTTCAGGATGAGGAGGTTTGCAAAGTGCGGGCGCATAAGTGTGAATGTGCCTGATGCCTCTGAGCTGTGCACTTAAACGTGGCTGATTCTGTTATCTGTATCTTAGCAGTTTAAGAAAGGGATTACAAACAGATGTCCTCCTCCTTACAGAGTGCATCGAAAGAACCTTTTTGATGAGTGTACAGGCCTTGCCTCTCCTGTCTCTACCACCGTTCTTTGAAACCTGGCCACGTGTCCCCTCCTCGCTGGCCTCTGCCCTCTCCTGTGTGGCATGGGCGCCCCGTCAGCCACACTGGGACCAATGACTTGCTGTCTGCCTCCCACACGAGCCCACAAGCTTGAGGGAGCCCTGGGTTTCCCAGGTGAGTCCTTGGAGGGTGTAGGGCTGCATCCTGACTTGGATCTCCCGTTTCTCTGTGACCTGTGTCAGAACTGAAAAGAAAAAGCGCATCGTGTCTGCTGCTCAAGATTTGCCTTGTGTTCTCTTGACTGGTGGCACGGTGCTCAAGGGTGGTGCCCAGGTCAGGTACGGACTAATTACTGCAAGGCTTGGAGTACCTGCGCACAGGCTTGCGAGGGAAGTGACACCAAGTCAAAATCGTCCCTTGATGCCAGGACCCTATGTTCTAACTGGAGAGACACAACAATTCCTTGAAAAGGGATGATTCAGACACAGTCATAGAAGTGACTTAACAAGGAAGTGGCATAGAAATTGGTGCAGGGCTGTGTCCCCAAGCCCCCAAAGACCTCAGTACACACAGCAGGCAGAATGCAGGGTGGGGCTCCTGTAGGAAGTCCGGCTGACACCGGCCTGCTGTGGCTGGGGACAGGACAGGCCCGGGAAGGCAAGGCGCTCCCAGAATGAGGCTGGGTTGTGCCAACAGGGCTCCTGCCACTCTCACAAAGTGACACTGAAGCCAGGTCCCAGAGATGACCTGGGAAAGGCCTCAGCTTGCTCAGAAGCCACACTGCACCGGGCGTGGCAGGATGACGCAAAAAGCGTGTGCCGACTGGGGGCCAGTGCAGGCCAGGTTCCCTGAGGGACACCACCCCTACCCTGTGCACCTGCAGCCAGACTGTCCCCCTTACTTCTTTTCCGGGTAGGGCTCAAAGGACTCGTCTGAGGACTGGGTGTTCTGCTTCTTGTCACTGTCGTCTTCACTCAGGAAGTCTCTGGGGAAGAAGAGAACCTTTAGCCAAGCCCTGGGTGAGTGACAGATCCAGTCCAACTTCCTGTCTAAAGACACCACATGATCCCCATAGTCCATGTTTAGTTCTCCTGAAAAGGTCTTAAGAAACCTAAAACCCCCAAATCTCTGATCCCATCTCCTAGCAGAAAGGACAAGCCAAGGTCACTGAAGTCCAACAAGCTGACCATCCCCGGTAAGCCACACTCCTCACACCAGGGCCCCAAACTGAAGGAGCCTGCGTGGGGGTCCCAGGCCAGTGTGAAGGCCCTCCCAGGAGGTGGGCTACGTAAATGGAGGTTCAAATGTCACCTCACCCTGTAACTGGGCACCTCCACAGGCTGTCAGCCATTGCGAAGGTCACAAAGGCCAGAACAAGCTCTGTACGTCTGTAACCGTCACCCTGAAGTATGAACCACTGTTCACTCTGCTGGGCAGCAGACGGCCAGGCTGGCACGCCGTGGCCTTCCCCCGCAGGCCGCCACCCGTCCAGAGAAAGGCTCGAAGCTGGCTGGTGGCCTGCAGGGCAGCCCACCACCACTCCTGGTCCCAGGGGTGTGTCTGCACATGCACATGGTAATTGGCACCCCATGAGAGCTGCGCTAAAAACCATGTCTGTGCATGGATGGGGGGGGTGCATTCCAGCCACGCCTTACAGGGTGGGTTGGGAGGTGTGAGTGGTTCCTGGCTCAGAGGCAGCAGGTGGCCCAGCAGCAAACAGCCTCAAGTCACACTCACGTCAGGGGAAAGCCAGAGGCTGGCTTCCTGTGCTCTAGGGACACGTGGGGCTCACACAACGAAAGCCTTGAAGGAGGAGACTGTCCCAGGAGCTCCACATGGTCCTGGTCCTGCTCCCCTGTAGCTGCACCAGGGCACAGCACCCTCTGGGACCCAGGGAGCCCCTAGTCAGGCCCAAGAAGCCTGGACGCACCCCCAGCCAGGACACAGGCAGCGAGCCCTTGGGATGGTGGAGTTTGGTTTCCAAGGAGAAATTTTAGGCTGTTTAAACCCACTCTTCTCTCACCCCTCAGAAAGGTCACTGAACTCGTCTTTTACCCGATCATCCGAGGTTGAAGATGGGACCTGCTTCTCACCCAACTGCCCTGAGGAACAAAGAAGGCTGCTGTCATCAAACTAGCGGCAGGCAGGCCCCCCCACCCACAAGGAGGCATGGCCTATGACCACACAGCCTTCCTCATGGGGGAAGCCGGGGTCCCCACCTCAAATTCCACCCCCAAGGCCCCCCACCCCCAACAGCGCAGCCCCACCCACTGGGCCGCTGCAAGCCCAGCATGGGCATTGCTGGGCATGGGAAACCCCAGCTGGCAATCAACAGCCAGCCCAGCCCCTCCCCAGAGGCTCGCTCCTGCCGTTTTCAGGGTGGGACGACTCACACTTCATGAATGTTTCTAAACACCTAAAAAACATCACTGTCCTCAAAGCACTATGCACAGAGTTTAAAAAGCCAGGTGGAGCTAACAGCCCTCCAACAGGCCCCGCCCCCCTCGCGTCCAGGCCTCTCCACCTCCCCGGAGGTGGGAGCTGCATGTTCCGAAACGCCACGGAGCACAGGAGCCGCCCAGCGCCCAGACAGGTGCACGGGGGCTGGTGGAGCAGACAGGCGCCTGGCCCTCCTAACGCGACTTGAACAGCTGCACCCCACCCACAGCGCTGTGGGACTCAGCCCCAAACAAGGGCCCTGTGTTTCCCCTCGGCCGCACTGGTCCCACCAGGGTGTCACCAGGGCACTGGCTGAGGCCCAGGGAATGACCCGAAACAGCCTCAGAGGCACCAGCTGTCCTCACCCCCCACGCCCCACAACAAGGGCCCCATTCTTCTCTCCCTTGGTCCCTGGGCCGGACAGCAAACGGGCGTGCCGTTCCAGAAACTGCTGGAGCAGGGTTCTCAGCCTGCCCGTGAGGAGGCACTGAGGCCGCTCCTGTCACCTCCCCCGCCCCCCCAGCCTCCCCCACAACACTGCCGCTACTGCCCTCCACGGTGCAGACATCCACTTCCTGCCACTGCGCCACCAGGCCAGAGGAGCCTCTTACCTGGGGCCCCACTCGGGGGGAGGCTTGGCTGAGGCAGGGGGCCCGGCACAGGCCCCACTGGGCTGCCATCCGCAGGAGGCTGGGCCACGTCTGTGCTGGGTAGCGTCTGGGTCTCAGCCCGGACTGCGGTCGCTCTGCCCTGAGAACTCTGAGGGGTAGCCCCAGTGGGGTTGCAGCCGCGATGCTGGGTCAGCCGTGGGACCATCTCCTTGTCCCACGTCCACTTGACCGCCAATGCGCTGTCCAGCAACAGAGCTCCACAGCTGGAGTCGGCGTCCATGGTGTAGTCGTGGCCTTGGTCACAGCCCCACACGGCCTGGATGACTCCACAATACTCGGAGGACAGTGTCCTCTGCAGGCTGGGCAGGGCCCCACAGCTGGCTGCGTGTCCGTGCACCCACCCCACCAAGCCGTGCAGGGCTTGTGGGCTAGAAGTGACCAGGTCCACTGAGGGAAGGCACAGATGTCAGCCCCATGGCTGGTCAGCCCCCAGGGAGCCCGCCCACACACGGCACAAGGGGGCACACTCACCCAGACACGCTCCGTCCTCGGCCCCTGTCGGGGGCTGGGTACCGACCCTGCAAAGGGTCAGCATAGCCATGAGGGGCGAGGCACGAGCAGGGCCGGCTGTCCGCACATGCAGGCTGACCCTTCTAACCCAGTGGCCGGCTCCGTATACTCAGCCATTGGTGGCCCTCACCTCTTGCACACGAGGCCCTCCCTGTGCCTAGGAACAGCCCCTGAACACCCCCCAGATGAGTGACAGAGGGAGCACCCACCTTGTGCCAGGCTTCCGCTGGCCTGACGGGGAGACATTGACTCTCTGCAGGAAGGACCTGAGGAGGCCGTGGCACTGGTAGAACTGGGCATGGCAGTTCTTGCACACAAACTGAGACAGAGCTGGGTCCTGGTGGACGGCCACCCCCAGCAGGTGCTGGAAATCACGGATGAAGACACGCTCCCCTGGCACGCCTGGTGGTGGTCTCTCTGAGCGCTCCCCAGGTGCCCTGCCAGAGATGCTGCGCAGACTCCGCGAGGAGAACTTCCCGTGGCACAGGCGACAGTGCCCCATGGCAAGAGCTCGGCCTGCTCCTGGGCAAGCACAGGAGACATCAGGTCAGCCTGCGAGGCTGCTCGCTTCACGGGCTCCCAGGAGGGAAGTGACACGGCCCAGAGAGGTGAGGCCCATGCTCCACCAGCCTCTCCACATGCCCCTAACAAGCCTGTGTCCTGGCCAAAGGCAGGGTTCTAGCTCTGGACTCCCTGCTGGACACACAGCCTTTCGAAGAGGTGCCCAGTGGGGAGGGGAGGGGTACTTTCAAAGACTTCTAAATGCCTCCATAACAAAGCCATCATTACCCTGAGATCAAAACCAGACAAGGACACTATAAAAAAGAGAATTACAGGTCATATCCTGATGAACATAAATGCAAAAAATCCGCAATAAAACAGTAGCAAACCAAATTCAACAATACACTAACAGGATCACACCACTGAGCTCCAGTTGGAGTTATTCCAGGGATGAAGGATGGCTCAACACATGCAAATCAATCAGTGTGATTCCCACATTAACAAAACGGGTAAAAATCATTCGATCATCTCAATAGATGCACAAAATGTATTTGACGAAGTTTAACATCTATTCATGATAAAAACTCTCAACAAAGTGGGAACAGAGGAAACATACCTCAACATAACAAAGACCATATATGACAAACCCTCAGCTGACATCATACTCAGAGATGAAAAAATAAAAAAGCTTTCCTCTCAGTTCAGGAACAAGATGAGGATGTCCACTTTTACCACTTCTATTCAACATAGTACTAGAAGTCCTCGCCACAGCAATCAGACAAAAAAAAAAAAAAAAAA